AATAAAAAAATAACATCTGATGTTTTGGGTCCCTATTCCAGGGATGAGTTTTTGTAAGAGCTAAACTATGATTGAGATGATAATGAAGAGTCAGAAGCAGCAAGACCAACAAAGTTGAAAGGATTTGCTCTGCTTATCTTTCTCTCCCACTGATTGCTGTCCCTGACCATTCATCCCCACAAGATTGCCTCATCTCTGCCCACAGACTCCTCACATCTGATTTCAAAAATATGTGTGTGGTGGGCGGGAGGGTTCACTGTCCAATCGCTCTACTATTGCAGGAGGCTCAGCCTGCACAGTTCCCCACATCCCCAGTGAGCCCCTCACAGCATGCCTGGTCGAGAGTTCTGGTCTTTAAAATGCGTATAAAACCCAGCACCAGCCATCCTGGGAATCCAGGCTTCTCAGCCAAGAACCTGCCTTCATTTCCTGACATCGCTTAATCAGGCAGAAAGTTCTCTCCTATTAAATTCAGAAATACTTGCAGCCCACATTTTTTTATATGACTTACAGAAATGAGAGAGTACTTCATATTTTTACTTAAACAGTGAAATTTCCTTTCTATGAAAACAATTTTTTTTTTTCAGTTTGAAATCCCCAAACACTTTATTGATGATTCATCAACCACTGGTGTTAGGGAAAAGACACTGGCCATCAGAGTTTCCAAAGGTGTCACTCCCATGGATCAGCATCACATGGACAGTGAAAATACCTGCCCTTGGATCTTGGAAGTCATCTTTCCTCTTCCTTCTTCCTACCTTGCAACATTTTAATTTTCTTCTTCAGAGTGATTTTTGGAAATGTCCCAGTGTAGAACACCATCGGCATCTATATTTTCTCTTTCTCTCCAAACAACAGGATCACCTACTATTTGCATGTGCTGGAATACACAGGCAGAGTGCTTTCTGTGTTATGCTGTATCTTCAGAAATGTTATCCCATTTAATTTTCCTCCCATGAGGAAGATGTGATTCTTCCTATTTTATAGGCTCAGAGAAGTAAAGCAATTTGTCCAAGGTCACCAATGAGAAGTGGAGACCCAGAAGAAGAACCAGACTGCTTTGGGGTGCAACCCCAGGGGCCTGCCTCTTCACCTGACCCTGGGCTCCCTCTTGATTATGCCGCTTCACCCCTCCATGTCCACCTCACACAGGCTTTAAGGACTTTAGTAATTTTGACCCAGAATGTAGGGTTCCCTGTTTTTCCCCAACAGGGTTTTCATTTAGGAGCTACTGCTTGAAGGTAGTCTAAATAGTGATTACCACCCCAAAGTAGACTTGTTACCAGTTTCATGTAATAAATTCCAACAATACTGAGAAATTCTTTAGTGTCTGAAAGATTATAGTCAACTGTTTGGGGAAAAGGGGAAGGAAATTTTGTCCCTTCTTTAGTGATCTCAGGCAATGGTTCTCCCAGGGGTTGGATAGTGGTGCTCCTGTTAGGCTGTCATTCCTGTCCTGCTATAGTTTGAATGGGTCGTTTTAGTTCATTTGGGATGATTTTTCTGTGTTTGTATGGAATGCAGTGTGTGTGTGTGTGTGTGTGTGTGTACATGAGTATGGGCGCATGCCATTTTTAGGGCCATATTAAGAGATTAAAATAAGGGATGCCTGGGTGGCTCAGTCAGTTGAGCATCTGACTTTTGATTTCGGCTCAGGTCATGATCTCAGGGTCGTGAGATCTAGTCCCACATCAGGCTCCACACTCAGCTGGGAGTCTGCTTAAGATTCTCTTTCTCTCCCTCTCCCTCTGCCCCTCCCCTCACTCATGCTCTCTCTCTCAAAAAAAAAAAAAAAAGATATTAAAAGAAAAGATAATGGGATGATGGTTCTTTCTCTTCTTGCTTCTACCTGGAAGGCATCTGGGTTTGGTGTGTGCACACTGTAAATGCACATGTGCGTGTGGATGCGTGTCTGCATTTTAGCACACCCCTTCTCCCATCTATAGAAGTAACAATACAATATTAAAGAATGCACCCAATGAAAGCCTGGTTAATGTCAGATAAGAAGGGTCCAGAACCTGCCTTGCTGCCAGGTATAATCCTGTTCCCACTCATAGGGACATAAAATCAGCTGGCTGTGGTCCAACGTCCTCCCTGTTTTCTTAGTAAACCAGCTGTACACCAAGAAGCATGCCTCCCATTGTTATGTGTGCTGCCTTCATGCATCTGTTTTAATCCACTTAATAGTCTGCTCAAACAAATACACACACAAAAAGCCTACTCATCCCCCTGTTTGTTGTTTTCATGGTATCATTTGAGAAACAGACCTATTTACTATACATCTCCTGTCTTTGTGCTTCTATATCTCTTTCTTAAATCTTTTTTTTAACTTTTCAGAATTTAAATATTGTGATTTTATTTTTTTATTTTTTTAAAGATTTATTTATTTATTTATTTGACAGAGAGAGACATAGTGAGAGAGGGAACACAAGCAGGGGGGGTGAGAGAGGGAGAAGCAGGCTTCCCACTGAGCAGGGAGCCCAATGCGGGCTTGATCCCAGGACCCTGGGATCATGACCTGAGCTGAAGGCAGACGCTTAACGACTGAGCCACCCAGGTGCCCCAAATATTGTGATTTTAAAGGGTTAAAAATACCAGGCACTTGAAGCTGAACTAATTTACAAAAGCACCAAAGGTTATTAAAAACTGGTAAAATTAACTGTTATATAAATGCACCTCCCTGCTAATAGATGGTATGGTTTGAGAGAATCTGAAATTGGCCGACTCTAAGAATAATTGCCCTTTGATAAGTGCTCACTTTAAACATTTTCCTGTCTAACCCCCTCCATGTATGAGGTACAACATCCAGACAGAGTTCCAATAGGTAAACAGCCTTGGGAGTTTTGTTTTTATCTACATATGAATGTATGTATTTTAAGTAGGCTCCATGCCCAGTGTGGAGCCCAACACAGGGCTTGAATTCATGACCCTGAGACTGAGACCTGAGCTGAGACCAAGAGTTGGATGCTTCACCAACTATGCCACCCAGGTGTCCTGTCTTGGGAACTTTAATTTCTTCTATCTCCTCTCAGTCCCCTCTCCCTCATGCGCCTGTATCTACCCTCAGAGCCTGTACCCATTGAAATCCACTGCATCCTCTAAGACTGAACTTAAATGCCATGTGTTTTCATTCTGCAGTCTCTGATCCTATACACAAATACAAATCACACCCTTGTCTGTGTGCCTTCATGTTCTGCACTTTTTTCTAGTGCATTCTACTAGACAGGAGTTGTACACACCCATTCCTGATTATCCCACGAGAAAGAAAGTTCACTAAGGGCAGAGAGACATCTTTGTGGTCCTCTGCCATGCTCCACTACTAGCACCAAAGGTGTGGAGAGAGGAAATATGGGGAAAATCAGCTTCTGCATTTCAAAATTTCACTCACTTGTAAAGATACTTTTCCCCATGAAGCTCTCCTTAATCCCCTCAACATGACAGTTCTATCCTCCTCTGAAAGGCACATCTATAACACATATTATATTATTCTCGATCTTGCATTAATACTAGTATGCTCTACATTCTTCCTTGTTATCTCCTCTTCCAAAACCTAAGCTCTTTCATTCATGAGGGTAAAGCTGATAGATGATGTATTTACATCCTTTATAGGGCCTTGTATCTATTAGAGCACAAATATGTACTTGTGGAATGGAAAGATTTTTTGATTTTAAAATACATCAAAGTTACAACATATAATCAAATTTATAAATCAAACATATTTGATTAAATATAACCAAATTACAAAATATATTTCTTTTACTGGGGAAAAATGGATCAATATTGGTTCACATTGGTCCTCAGCTCTTGGATTTCCTTAATATTTCATCAATTTATTATTTTTTAATTACCATTTCAATTCTGGACTTAAATGATCTGACAATTTGTCTTCAGACTCTTGCAAATCAGTTCCTCCAGAGTATGAAATTTAGAAGTCAAATTTATGTATTGGACATCTACAAAACATATTTTAAAGCAACCCTATTTCAGAACTGTAATTTTTTCATGATATAAAAGTATAGCAAATAAATAGTTTGATATTTTCATTGTTATGTCAGAAATAATGGACTAACTAGAATAAATTCTTAGTGAAATAAAACGGAGACCAGTCTTTGTGCAGCCAGCTTAAATCTCTCTCTCTCTATCTCACATACACGCACACACCACTTAGTTTCACTTTTAAATTCAATCCCCCTAATAAGTGATATGGCAGAGGTCCTTTCCAGCCTATCAATAATACAATTAAAATAAAAAAGAGAAAGGCTGATCAAAGCCTTTTTGAAAGAAATCACAATTTATCCAACAGAAAATTATACACATGGACAAAGACATGTCATTGGCTGTAACCTAGATGCACAGCCATTTGCTAAAAAGCAGCACTAAGTGAAAGTTGGCCCATTTCATGTCCTTTCTTTGGTGCTTCAGTTACCAAAGTACAAAATAATTTCATTATATGTTGCCCTTTCCTATGAAATGGGTCAACAACCTGGACTCTAGGCATGGTGCTACATGTTTCCGTCTTGTTGTAGTTGTGTGTCTTTGGTAATGAGGTTTCTGCTTGATTTCATAAGGATCTTTAAAAGGAAACCTATGGCCAAGCCAGTTTGCAAATAATAAAATGCATAGATTCAGACCTCTGAAAAGAGCGCATATGAGACCATGCATTAGGCTCTTCTGCAATAAAATCAACAGAGTAGGAATGCGGGTGCTAAAGGAGAGGCCCACTCACCTGCTGGGTTGCCCAGAGCCTGTACCCGTGGCCATGGGAACCAAAGGGGGAGGAGCATGTGGCCCCAGACGCCAGGACACACGGTCGGGCTATTGCAACTGGTTGGGTTTTTGCCCTCGTTTTCAGTTGTGTTCCCAAGGAGAGCAAAACCTTAAGCCTCAGCTGTAGCGAACCAATGTTTTGTTTTGTTTTTAAACAAGTCTGTATGGAGACAATGGCAAATTGAATCACAAAAAGACCTATTTAGGTAAAACAAAGCATTCTTCTTCCTTACTTTTGACCGTGAGGTACATGGACTTGCTGACGTCCGCGCCCACATCGTTGCTGACCTTGCACAGGTAGTAGCCGCTGTCTTCCTCCACGACATGCTTGATCAACAAGGACCCGTTGCTCAGGACCTGAATTCGGCCATTGAGGGCAATGGGTTGGAACTGGGGAACCCCAGCACCTGGAGGAGAAGAGGAAGGAGGGAAAATGATGCAATGTGAGCAAACATGCGGAGACAGTGAGCTCAAGTTCACCCAGACTAGTAAAGAGAAGGGAAGGGTATTTCACATACAGAGGGCAGTCATGGGAGCCACCATTTTTTTTTCCCAATGTGGACATTCCTGTTTGGAGAGAAATACATTTACTTCAAATGACACTATTTCCAACTCTGGGATAAAGAGTAAGAGATCTTACAGGTTGTTTCTACACACACACACCCAAAAATACAAATCTGATGAGCGTTAAGTAGCTGATAAATCATTCAAAGACATGGCTGTGGAACAAGCACAGGAGTGGACGTCTCTCCTGAGATGAAATAGAAGCCTTGTGTCCCCAGGGAATTCATACGAAGGTAAACAAGGAGTGCCCTAGGGACAGGGCCCTGGAAGACTCTGCTTGCAGCACACACCTGAGTCTACAGAGAGAATACAAGTATTGCAGGTTTCTCTTCTAAGCATGGTCATATCCCAGTCTAGAAACACATGCATGTCAATATCATTTAATGTTATTTAAATAAATAAGTCAGATCATGCCACTAAGATAGCACAGTATTCAAACACTACTCTCCTCAGAGTATTGTGTTCAAGGAGATAATGCCACGGACGAGATATGTTGCGGTCATAGATGTGATAGGACTCACATGGGAGATCCCTATGAAACTAATCTTTTAGAAATAATGAAAAGCAGGACTATGGTCTCTGGAGAGTTCTGGGAAGATGATGGTTTGGATTAACCTGCTACATTGCTTCCCCCTGTGTGAGGGGCATTGGGTGGGACTAGGAGGGTATGATCCAAGCTTTGAAGGGCTGAAAGAGCGTCTCTATTTTGTGCCTGGAGTCTGAGGATTTAGGGAGAGGGCTCAGGGGTGAGGACCAATTCCATCTTCCTGGAGAAAGCTCACAGCGTGAGCCAAGTGTGTGCTCTAGAGAGGGCCTGCTGGTCTCCATGGCCCCAGATCCTGCATGGGAGCTGAGCACGTGCACTGTCACCATACTCCTCATGCAGGAAACTTCAGACTTTACATCCGGGGGCAGGAGAAGGGAGACTTCCTCCTGCTGTCTCTATGCCAAACTGATCACTTACCTATTGGTACCTCTCAGCTCACAGTGACAGAGATGGTGGCTGTGCCTTCCCTTCCTCCATTTCTATACCAGGTATCAGCCCCACCAAAGGGACAAGGGAAATTAATAGTGTGTCAAGGGGACATTTCACACTGAATAAGAAGGATAAGCAGAATCCCTACAACAGGTGGTTTTTATCAGAACAGAACTGCTACAGAGGGAATATGAAAAATTGAATAAAAAAAAAAGAGCTCCAGGGGAGGGGGGTGGGGGGATGGGTTAGCCTGGTGATGGGTATCAAAGAGGGCACGTATTGAATGGAACACTGGGTGTTATACGCAAACAATGAATCATGGAACACTACATCAAAAGCTAATGACGTAATGTATGGTGATTAACATAACAAAAGCTAATGATGTAATGTATGGTGATTAACATTAACAAAAAAAATAGAGTTCTGCTATGGCTAAGGATGGAGGAAGACACAAAAGAATGTCCCTTTCATTTTAACAACAAAAAAGAGAGGCTGTTAATCTACAAAATCATTCTTCTCTTTGAGTAATTCAGAAAGCTGAAGTCATAGGTGACTAGGTAAACTCAGTTGCAGAGTTAAAAGCCTTGCAAGGAGATGTGGGTATATAAAGAGTTGCACCTTTGGCACAGGATGGGAGGCCAAGGACCTCGGCATAAAAGAGGACAAGAAGTAAAGACTGGAAATAAGTACGACCTACCACAACCTCTACTTCTCTTTTACACACCAGGGCCAGAATTCAATAAAATATTGAGACCCACAAAAAAGCAAGAAAAATGGTCCAGAGAAAAAAGTATCAACAGAATTTGGCTTGGAGCTCTCTCAGACAAGGCTTTTATAATAATTATAATTAATACCCATAAACAGGTGGGAGGTTCAGAAAGAATCCCCAAACTGTCAAACTATATATATGAGACAAAATGATAAAAAAAAAAGAGAGAACCACAATATTAGTATGAAGAAATTCTGAAATAAGCTAGTCAGCAGGTTATACACAACAGAGGAAAAAATGGTGAATTTGAAGCTAGGTCAATGGAAAATATCCAAATTTAAAGAAAAAGTGTAAAAGAGTGAAAAATGCAAAATGGATTGTCATGGAGTTCTGAAACTATATAAAATGTTCTAACATTGAGAATTACAGTCTCAAAAGGAGAAGAAAAAAAGGGGCAGGAGAAATAAGATTTGAAATGCAGAAGACTTGAATACCACTACTAATCAATTTGATTTAACTGACATTTACAGAACTCTGCACCCCACAATAGCAGAAGACATACTGGTTTTGAGGGCACATTTGACACTTGTCAAAATAGATGATATTATTAGTCATAATACAAATGTCAGTAGATGTTATGAAATAAAAATAATATATGTTATGTTCTAGTTCCACAGCAAAACTAAAATTGAAACCAATAACACAAATATGTCTGGAAAAACACCCAAATATTTGAAAACTAAACAACACATTTCTCATATCTCATGATTCAAAGAAGAAATGACCAGAGTAACTAGAAAAATACATATATTTTGAGTTGAACAAGGATATAAAAACGCCATAGCAAAATTTTGGGGATGCAGTTAAAAGCAGTAATTAGATGGAAGTTTGTAGTGTTTAATTATTGTATTAGAAAAGGAAGGAGATCACAAATCAGATATCTAAGCATTCACCTTAAGAAGCTATTCCAAGAAGGGCAAGGAAAACCCAAAGTAAGGAAAAGGAAGAAAATAATAAAGAGGAAAACTGAAATCAGTGAAATACAAAACAGAAAAAAGATAGAGAAAATCAAAACCAAAAGCCAGTTCTTTGAAAAAAAGAAAAGAACAATATAACAAGTGAGGCGCTCACTGGACTGATGAAGAAGAGAGAAGATACAAGTTACAAATAACCATAATGAAAGTGGCCATCACTACACGCCTTACTTGGACTGAAAGGATGATGGCATCATATCAGGAATAACTTTGTGCCAATGCATTTGACAACTTAGATCGAATAGATACATTTCTTGAAAAACAAAACTATCAAAGATCACTCAAGAAAAAGTGGATGAAGTTAATAGTTCTATATCTACAAATTAATTTATAGTTGAAAACCTTCACCACATCACACACATCAAAAAACTAATGATGTATTGTATGGTGACTACATAACATAATAAAATTAAATTTAAAAAAAATGAAAAAACCTTCCATGAGCAACACCACACTCACTAGTAAATATTACCTAATACTTAAAGAAATAAAATTAATTTTAAACAAACTCTTACAGAAAATACAAAATCACTTTACAATTGATTTTATGAGGCCAGCATCATCTTGATATTAAAGTCAGATGAAAACCTTATGAGAAAAGAGAACTACAGACCACTATTCCTAATGAATACAGACATAAATCCTTAACATTACCAAATCAGGTGTATCAACATGCACACAACAATGCATCACGGACAAATGAGATTTACTCCAGGAAGGCAAGGTTGGTTTAAATTCAGAAACTTGTCAATGAAACTCACTATATCAACAGACCAAAAAAGAAATACAATATGACCAATTGAATACATTTTTTTTTTTTTTTTTACAGAATTCAACATCCTGATAAAATCTCATAGCAAACTAGGAAGAGAATGAACTAACCTGATAAAAGGTTTCTACAGAAAACTCATAACTAAATCATACATAATCAAAAAGAACCTCCAAAAAATTGCTAGAATCATAGTGAGCTTAGCAGAGTCATGGGCTATATCAATATAAACAATTCAAAATTATTTTTATTTAAACATATATTAGTTACAAACAATTGGAAATTGAATTTTTAAAAAGATTTTATTTATTTATTTGACAGAGAAAGACACAGCGAGAGTGGGGACACAAGCAGGGGGAGTGGGAGAGGGAGAAGCAGGCTTCCTGCTGAGCAGGGAGCCCGATGTGGGGCTCAATCCCAGGAGCCTGGGATCATGACCTGAGCCGAAGGCAGACGCTTAATGACTGAGCCACCCAGGTGCCCCTGGAAACTGAAATTAAAAAACAATATATTTGCATCAAAACATGAAATGTTTAGGAATTCATTTGAAAAGATAAGTGCATGACTGGCCCACTGAGGACTACAAAAGTTCTTGCCAACAATTAATGAAGACCAAAATAAATGGAGCATGACACCATGCTCATGGATAAAAATTCTCAATATTTTCAGTCAGTAGGGGAAATCTTTTTCCATAAAAGGCCAAATAGTAAATATTTTAGGCTTTGCAGGCCACAGTGTTACCACTATGTACTTCTGTCACTGGGGCACAAGAGTGGCCATAGAAAATGTACAAACAAAGCAGTATGATTGGGCTCCAATAACATCTATTTAGAAAGACTGCTTGTGGGCAGGTTTTGACTCATGCCCCACATCTGGCTGACATCTGGTTTAAAGATATGGAAGAAAGTACACCGCTATAAGATAATTGTAAAGTTGGAAGGTGGAGCATATACAAATAATACACATTTGGATTAGTTTTGTGTCACATATCTGATGTATTAAATATCATAACATTTTAAGTAGACAAAATTTAAATTTATCTTATTCATGAAGAATTCAAAATCAGGGGTGAAAAGTTTTAAAGACATAATAGTGTTTTGCTTTTATAACTGCAACACATTGGGGCACCTGGGTGGCTCAGTCTGTTAAGCGTCTGCCTTCGGCTCAAGTCATGATCTCAGGGTCCTGGAATCGAGCCCCATGTCGGGCCCCCCGCTCAGTGGGGAGTCTGCTTCTCCCTCTCCCTCTGCCCCCCTCTCCGCTCATGCTTTCTCTCTCTCTCAAATAAATAAAATCTTTTGCAATGCATTGCTTTCCACATATCAGCTACTGACTATTTTCTAAAGGGAGAGAGA